CTGCTGAAAAAATATTTGCAATCTGCTGTCAGCAGAGTAGCAATGGAGGTAGGTAGGGTTGGTGGAGGTGATGAGACAGAAGCAACTGGAGTTGGCTTGTTCTAGTGGGAGGCATTCGGGACCAGCTAGAGTTGGAGGAGGTGGTGGCAAGAACAAAACTGAAAAGGAGTGGCTAGACGCTGATGGGTGGGCCAAGAAAGCCCATCAGCCCGCCAGTGAAGAACAACTTCCTGTCAGGGGTGTTAGGGATACTCACATTTGTTTTTATTTGTATTTTTTTGGTAGGTATTTGTCATAGGGCATGTGCACTCACTGGAGAGCTAGAGAGAGGCAGAGACAGAGAGAAAGTGAAAAATCACTCCCCAGGGGATGGCCACACTGCAATCTCTTCTCCATTCTCCTCTTGGGATTTTGGACATGCACATGCACGCTCCTAGCGTGAGTTTCAAGCTGCTGGATCTGGAACTTGAACTGTGGTCTACTATGTGGGAGTCCAGCAATGTTACCATTATGCCACCTACTGGGGGATGGCCACCCTGCAGTGCCTTGTGCATTCTCCTCTCAGGATTTAGGGCAAGCATGCACATGTGCCCAGCGTGTTTTTCAAACTGCTGGGTCTGGGACGTGAACCTTGGAGTTGGCCATGTGGGATCCAAAGCCTTAATCAGCATACCACCTGCTGGCCTGAGAACTTGCTTCTTGCTTACTTCTTTCTCCTCCCCACAGGAGCCTGTGTGGCCTACTTCCTTACTAAGCGGCGTGAGTATCGCAACTCCCTGAACCCCTTTAAAGGCCTGAAGGAAAAAGAAGAGAAGAAACTTCGAAGTCGCCGGTACCGGGTAGGTTTCTAGACTTTTTTTTCAAGATGCTAAATTCTAGACCCAAATAAGCCACAGTGGGAAGGGCCAGAGGACATGGCATCTGAGAATGGGATTGAGAGAGATGTAGACAGAGAAGGAGCCGCTTCTAAGATTTGACTTGGGGACTGAATTTCCTTAAGCACAGATTTTTTTTTTTTAATTTTAAGAATTATTTTTTGGGTCAGCAGGTACTCCCATCTAGCCTACTGCAGTTTGAGTTCCGCACTAGCAACTTGCTTTCTCACTTTCCCTTTCTCCTTCTCTCTGTATCTCTCTGGTCAAGTTAAAAATAATAATAATGAGGGCCAGTAGGTGGCATAACGGTAACATTGCTGGACTCCCACATAGTAGACCACAGTTCAAGTTCCAGATCCAGCAGCTTTAAACTCACGCTAGGAGCGTGCATGTGCATGTCCAAAATCCCAAGAGGAGAATGGAGAAGAGATTGCAGTGTGGCCATCCCCCTGGGGGGTGATTTCTCACTTTCCGTCTTTATCACTCTCTGCCTTTCCAGTGAGTGCACGCACCCTATAGCAAAAATCTCTCTCTCTAAAAAAAAATACATACATTGATAATAATGATAATAAAGTAATTATTTTTAAAAAAGAATTATTTAATTTTATTTATCATTACCATTCATTTAAAAAATTTGCTACCGGACACGTGGACTCACCATAGAGGGAAAGAAAGGAAACCATCAGGTCCAGGACTCGAACCATCATCAGCCATATGGGAGCCCAATGCCTTAACTACCACGCCACCTACCAACCCTTTTAGGCGCAGATTTTACACAGTGTTCTCCACTCAAAGCTCTCCCCAAATCTAGCCATAGTCTGCTTCTCTTCCTAATCTCTGTCCTGGGCTTCTACCTTAGCTTTTTGCCAACCGATCCAGTATCATGAGGCACTTCGGACCTGAGGACCAACACCTGTGGAAGGATGTGACAGAAGAGCTGATGTCAGATGAAGAGGACAGTCTTCATGAGCCAGGCGTCTGGGTGGCCCGGACTCCCCGCTTTCGGGCCCAGCGCCTCACAGAGCTCTGCTACCATCTGGATGCCAACTCTAAGCATGGCACCAAAGCCAACCGTGTGTATGGGCCTCCCTCTGACAGACTGCCTTCTGCTGAAGCCCAGCTCCTTCCACCAGAACTCTACAATCCTAATTTCCAAGAAGAGGAGGATGAGGGAGGTGATGAGAATGGACCTGTCTCCCCATCTTTTGACCAACCCCACAAAACCTGTTGTCCTGACTTGAACTCATTCATCGAAATCAAGGTAGAAAAGGATGAGTGAAATCTCTAACCAAGAATAGCTGGCTTCTGCCACTCCCCAAGTCCCAGAAATGGGCAGCCATGGGGCTTTCCGGAATAATGAGCTGCCCTCTGCAGTCTGAGAAGGCAAATTTGCCTCTCTGCTTAACACAGTCTCTGCTGGAAGTGGAACATGTTAGGTCTGGTGGGATGAAAGGACTTACCTAGAGGAAGGAAAACATCCCCACTGTGAATGGCAAGCCAGAAAATGCTTATTCCTAAGCATAAACAGTGCCTCGGAGGAGCCTGAGATGGGAAAAGGAGGAGGATGGGTCTAAGAAACATGAGGCCTTCTTGACATATGCTGTGGTCTCTGAGTTGTTTTTTTTTTCCTCCGCTGCTGGGTCCCCCAAAGCTCTGGGGAAGAAGTCCAAGTTGTACCTTTGGCTTCCCTGTGACTGCTGGTCTTGCTCTGCAGAGGAAGCAGAACAGGACCAGTCCGGGGGAATGCTGCCACCTGGTGGGAGGTTTCCATCATGGTCTTGGTTCTCCTGAACAAGAGAGAACCTGAGCTCCCTCACTATTTGGGAATTGGGATCTAGATATAACAGCTATTGTTTATTGAGTTATATAAGATTTCATGATGCCCATCTTACACATGAGGAAATTAAGGCTTAACGAGCTCCCATGCCTCAGTAGCTTCTGCCACTGTGTGACCAAGAAGACGACTCAGTGTGGTAGCTATTCCTTAGTCCTGTCAGCCAAACAGTCTTCATATTTTGGAGAGTGTGTGTGTATGTGTGTGTATGCACTATTTTGAATGGACTGAAAAGTAAAAATGACTCTATATTCAGTCAGTCAGACACAAGTGATTCCCTACTAGGTGCCAAGGACTGTGCTAAACGCTATGGTTATATTGTTGATAAGGTTAGTTGCCCATCAAGGTTGAACTGTGCAGGCAGGGAGCCAGGCACCTGAGGAGGCAATGAAACGAATCGTGACAAGGGTGTCCAGGGTGAGCGCAGGGTGAAGGGGGTAGCTAACTTATTCCTGCAGTCTTGAGCAGCTTCTTAGAGGGAGTGATTGAACTAATACCTGAAAGGGAAGAGTTAACCAAGAGAAGGGAAGGAGAGACTAGGACAGTGTTCCAAACGTAGGGGACAGCAGGCACAGAAGTCCAAAGGCAAGAGAAAAATACAGACAAGATTCTAGTCTACTGCAGACCAGTTTGGGGAGAGGATAATGCTGAGAGAAGAAACAGAACTAAAGACCCTGTAAAACATCTTTGAGTGTAACTTTGCCCAAGGGCAGTGAGAAGTCATTAAAAGATTTTAAGCAGGGAAATGAGGGGCCAGCAGGTGGCGTGGTGGTTAGGGGCACTGGGTTCCCACATGGTTGACCATGGTTCAAGTCCCGGACCTGGTGACTTGTTTTCTCACTTTCTCTCTCTCTTGCTCTGTCCCTCTCTGGTCAAATTGAAATGAAATAAATGAGTAAATAAATAAAGTTAAATAAAATAATTTCAAAAAAAATTTAAAAAGCAGGGAAATGAGATGAGTAGTTACATATATTAGAAGACTCACTTGATGGGAACCAGCAGTTAGCGTAATGGCTATGTTGCTGGACTCCCACGTAGTCGACCGCGGTTCCTGTCCCAGACGCGGTGGCTTAAAACTCACGCCGGGCGCGTGTGCGTGCGTGCCCAAGATCCTGAGAGGAGAATGGAGGAGAAGGGATTGCGGCGTGACCATCCCCCCTGGGGGGTGATTTCTCACTTTCTGTCTCTATGTCTCTCTCTCTGTCCGGTGAGCACACACGCCCTGTAGGAAAAACCTCTCCCAAAAAAAAGAAATTACACCAGGCACATGTGTGTGCATGCCCAAAATCCTGAGAGGAGAATGGAGGAGAAGGGATTGCGGCGTGACCATCCCCCCTGGGGGGTGATTTCTCACTTTCTCTCTGTCTCTCCAGTGAGCTCACATGCCCTATGGTAAAACCTTAAAAAAAAAAAGGAATTGGAAAGAGCCTTGGCCAGGAGACTTACATGGGTTCAGGAGAGAAAAGTCCTTACATATGCAGTGGTGATTAGAGGAGGGCAGATTTGAAAGATAAGAGAGCAGAACTCATAGGACTTGGTGGCAGAACCTGGTTGGATCTGAAGTAAAGGGAAGAGGACAGGGGCTGATGGGTAGGTTTCTAGTGTAAGCAACTAAGTGGTTAATGGTGCCATTAACTCAGGGAATGCTTGAGCCAGTTTCAGGAGGCAGGGAATATGAGCCCAGTTTAAGGTGCTGATTCCTTTGAGAAAACCAAGTGGAGATACTAGTAGTCAATTCAGTTTTGGGGTTAGTCCTTCCATCAGTGAGAGAGGCAGCACCTCCAATGGGGTCTCTCTTTTTTTTTTTTTAATTTACAGATTTTTGCTACAGGGCATGTGTGTTCGCCAAAGAGGCAGAGAGAGACAGAGAGACAGAAGGCAAGAAATCACCCCCTTTGGGGAATGGCCACACCACAATCCCCTCTCCTCCATCCTCCTCCTAGGATTTTGGGCACACATGCACACGAGCCCGGCGTGAGTTTCAAGTCACCAGGTCTAGGACTCAAACCGCTGCCAACTATGTGGGAGTCCAGCTATGTAACCATTATACCACTTGCTGGCCCCATCCCCCAAAGGGTCTTGATGCCATGATCCACTCTCGCCTTAACCAGCCCCAGCTCATGGGCACATATGTGTCCACATAATAAGGGAGGTCTCCAGACACAAACCCATGTGGGTTAGCCTCACAAAATGCCGTTTTACAACTGCACAGCTATCCAGCCCCTCAGCTGAGCTTTGAAATTCAAGAAACTGGGGCTAGAGATAGATTAGGGAGCCATCCACGTATATGGATTGTAATTAAAGTCTTGGGGATGAAGAGGGCCCATGGAGCTCCCAGCTCCAGTTCACACCAGGGAGAGGTTGCCCTGAGGTTCTGAGCACTCTTGGAGCATGCTCTACCAGAGTACCTTTCTTCACCTTCACTCATCTTTGCTTCCTATTATCCCCTGAAAACAAAGGCTGATTATTGTAACCATGCCCATTGTTGGCACCATTGACTCCCATATGGACTTCCTTTAGTGGCATCTCAACTTTTTGTAAGATTTACTCACCAGCCCTTACCCCTGAGGATCCAAACTTCCAAATACTAGGGGCTGAACAGTGGTGCAGCAGTAATGGGATGCTGTGAGGCTGACCCACATGGAAAGGCTCCAGGTTTGCACCCGTAGTCCTCCCTAAACACACTGGGCATGTATGCCCATGACCGTGGGACTGTCTGAAGCTGAAGGTAGATCAGTGTAAGACTCTTGGGTGTATTATATTATTTTGTCTCTCTGTTCCTTTTGCTTGTATAAGAAACTTGAAAAAAAACCTCCCAGGTGGCACAGCAAAGGTGCTGGACTCCCACATGGCCAACCATGGTTGGAGTCCCGGACCTGGCAGCTTGAAAATCACTCTGGGCACGTGAGCATGCGTGTCTAATATCCTGAGAGAATGGAGTAGATGGGATTAGTGTGGCCATTGCCCTGGGGGAGATGATCTCTCACTTTCCTTTTTTTTTTTTTTGTTTCATAGTAAAGACTGCTTTATTGATGGCAGTTAGTATAAGCCTGTCTCTCTCCAGCAAGTGCACGCGCCCTATGGCAAAAACCTTAAGAAAAAAAAAATCCAAATATTGGATAATTTGGATTTAACTGGGTTTAACTGGAAGAATTCAGGCTCTCCTTCCCTCCTTCCCTAGCTGAGGCAGGAAGGACGGAGAAACTTCTGGTTAATTCTGAAGACGTTGCCTACAGAGGTTCTAGATGCAGCCTGGCAGCTCCCCTCTACCAGTACTCTCGGTCCTCTCTGCTTCCAATCTGGTAGTAAACGCTCCTCGGGATCAAAGCGCTACAGGCTTGACCAGGAAAACAGGCTGATTCACAGGAGAGATGAGGTCAGGCAGACAATGGAGCTTGGACAAGGAAGCCAAATAGTTTGTGCCAAATTAATTTCCCAGAAGATATTAACCTCCTTTCTTTTCCCATTCCCTAAGGCTACACTAAGACGATAAAAGATGTTAAAAATGTTGAGATGAAAATAATATGCATGATTTGTTTGCATATCATTTTCATGCTCATTTACTATCTAAATACAAAAGAGTCATTCTCCTTCTTCTCCACTCTACATCTTCTGCCCCTTGCCACTGATGTGCTAGTCTGAGCAAAATCAGTTGACTAGTATTTAATCAGATTATGTTCAGCTTCAGCCAGGATTTCTTTTATTTATTTATTTTTTACTGTTTGTTCATTTCTTTGTCATGAGAGAGACAGAAAGACAAACACTCTAACAGGGTCTCACACTACGTCCTTCCCCACAGCCCTCCCAGCTAGCCAGGATCAATAACACACCCGCATGGGGTGGGGCAGGTGGGGGTAAGGGGGTGGCGAACAGGCCCACCTGAGGAACTGCCCCCAATCTCCCATGGCTTCCAGCACTGCCAAGGAGACACTTAGGCGTGCACTACTCTGACTGGGCCTCCTTTTTTTTTTTTTTTTTGGAGAGGCGTTTGCTATAGGGTGTGTGCGCTCACTAGAAAGAGACAAGAGATGGGATGAGCAGGTGGTGTGGTGGTTAAGGCGCTGGACACTCCCACATGGCCAACCAGGGTTCAAGTCCTGACTCTGGTGGCTTGCTTTCTCACTTCCTCTCTCTCTCATCCTCTGTTTCTCTCTGGTCAAATCAAAAAGTAAATGAATGAATAAATAAAATAAGATAAATAATTATAAGGAAAAAAAAAGAGACAGAGAGACAGAAAGAAATCATCCCTCCCCAGGGGGGATGGCCACTCCACAATCCTTTCCCCTCCATTCTCTGGGATCTTGGGCATGCCTGAGAGTTTCTGATGTGAATTTAAGCCACCAGGACTGGGACTATATGGGAGTCCAGCAACATAGCCATTATGCCAACTGCTGGCCCTAGGCCTCTTGTTTTTGATCTTTTTATAACAGTATAGGCCAATATCAGCCCCTCATCCTTTTCCATCCTGATTGTTTTCACTTGCTATTTCCTCTAAAGGCATTTCCTCTCTTCCTCTTAGGTTAATACTTACTCAATGTCCTGTGGGCCAACCAATGGAGGGGGGTGTTCTGTAGCCCCTCAAACAGGCCTTCACTCCCCATAGTCACCTGAAATATTTGCTAAAAATCTCATTTCCCAACACCAGGGGGTGTCTGTCTATTCCTCTATCTGTCCTACCCTTAAGGTAGGAATTAGGCCCAAACCTTTCCCTCACTTTTCACTGCTTTTACCTACACACTAAATCTCTCTCCCTCCTTCTTAAGGTAGAGATTAGTCGCCAACCTTTCCTCCCTTCTTTTCATTGCTTTTACAGACCTACTAAGTCTCCCCCCTCGAACTGCTCCACCAGGACGGAACTTTGGGTTCAGAAAGTGGTGCGCTTTTTTGCAGTTTATGTTAGTCTCGCATCCTCTCTGGACAGACTTGTCCTTTCCCTGCGCGTTCTTCGATCTCTGCACTACTCACTCCCTTTCGCTCCGCGGGCTCTCCCTTTCTTGGGCTACCTGTCTTCCCCCTAAGTTTGCTTCCTGGTCTCTGGACCGCTTCCTGGTCTCTGGACCTCTTTCTCCGTGCATCCACCTTTCTTCATCTCCCCGTCTTCTTCTTTAGGGGTCTCTCCCTGACTCACTACTGTACCATCTCGCCGTCTCTCCCACAATACCCGCACTGAGAACAAAGTCACGGTGTTTGCGCAGCGCTGGCCTCCCATCGCCCCTTCCGGCCCGCGACATTCCACCATGCCCCTCCGCGCATTCCAACTGCAAACAAAGAGTCCCCCCCAACACCTCCCAACACTCCGGTTCGAATTCTTGAATGTGGTCACTGCGGCTGTCCAAACTACCCCTTGCCCTCCTCTCGCTTCCAGTCGGCGGATCTCCACCTCCAAGATAGCTGCCACCAGCGCGGCCCCCGGGACACACCGCAGATCCCTGCGCTCACACCCCGTGGCTCCCGTTCACACCGCGCTCCGCCCTTCCAGGAAAGTAGATCCGGCCAGGCAGACAAAAGTTTGGGAGAGAAGTTTGGTCTGTGCCAAGTGTGAGAGCGAAGGGGGCGGGGGCCGGGGAGTGTGGGGCGGTCGGGCGAGTCGACGCGTGAACAGATAGACCTGCGGACGGGACAGCTCTAGCCCCGCTTAACCCCAGATGCGCGGGGGGACGCAGCTGCTCCCGCTGGGGGATGCTGCGGGATTCCTGGCGCCGGGCATCCGGGCCGCCCGCTAAGCCCCTGTGCCTATCCCGTGCCCCTGGGGACCCGGAGTCCGGCTGCTGGGAAAGAGAAGCGGCCGCCGAGACGCTGCAGGGTGCCGGGCGGGGAGGGGGCTGGAAGCCCCAGGCCCGAGGGCATGGAGCGGTTAGGGGAGAAAGCCAGTCGCCTGCTGGAGAAGTTCGGCCGCAGAAAGGGTGAATCTAGCCGGTCTGGGTCTGATGGGACCCCTGGGTCGGGCAAGGGGCGCCCGAGTGGGTCGGGGGTGCCTAGGAAAGCAGGGCACCGAGGAGCTACTGGGGAACCTGGCAATGAGCCGTTGGAGCCGGCCCGGGAGCAAGGCCCCCAGGACGCTGAGCGGAATCCACGCGGCTCCTTTGAGGCGCAGCGCTGCGAGGGCTCCTTTCCCGGGGGGCCGCCGCCCACACGAGCCTTGCCTCTACCTCAGTCACTGGCCCCCGATTTTCGCCAGGAGACCACGGCCCCGGCCCTAAGCCCCCGCTCCAGCTTCGCCAGTAGCTCAGCCAGCGACGCGAGCAAGCCGTCCAGTCCCGGAGCCAGCCTGCTGCTGGACGGCGCGGGGGCTGGCGGAGCCGGAGGGAGCCGGCCCTGCAGCAATCGCACCAGCGGTATCAGCATGGGCTACGACCAGCGGCACGGGAGCCCTCTGCCCGCGGGGCCGTGCCTGTTTGGCCCACCGCTGGCTGGGGGTGCGGGC